CTGGGGTTGTTCTTGCTCATGAGGTTGCTCCGGCAGGTAATGGGTGTCGGGTTCTGGGGTTTTGAGCGAGAAATGAGAAGTGGGTTCTTGAGAAAAGTAGCCGTGAAGGTTGTTAGAAACTGAAAAGAAGGAGAAATATCTTAAGAAAGGTTTATTGCTTTCTTGAATTATATTGTATGTACAATGACTTATATATAGGTGTTTACAAAGAGAATAGTCTAAGGTATAAAGTATATGAAGAGAATATTTTAAAGTATAAAATATTTACAATAATTCTAAATATAATTATGTTCACATCTTAACATCCCCTCAAACTCAAAGTGGTTGTGATGAAACCATCTTAAGTTTGGAAAGAAGAGTACGAAAGCGTCCAGGAAAATGAGCCTTGGTAAAGAGATTTGCTAGTTGATCAGTGGAGCCAATGAAAACCAAATGAACAGTTCCTTGTGCAACATGATGGCGAATAAAGTGACAATCAACCTCAATGTGTTTAGTGCATTCATGAAAGACATCATTATGAGCAATCTGCATAGCACTTTGATTATCACAATATAAATCAGTAGAAGAAGGTTGAGGAATGCCTATATCTTGAAGAAGCCACCGCAATGAAAGAAGTTCTGATGTGGTATCCCTGAGAGCTTTATACTCAGCTTCAGTACTAGAGCGAGATGGAATAACTTGTTTCTTACTCCGCCAATAGATGAGAGAATTACCAAGGAAAAGACAATAACCGGTGGTAGATCTACAATCAGAAGGATCACCGGCCCAATCAGCATCAGAGTAAGCACGAAGCACAGGGGAGGAGTTGGCAGAAAAATGGAGTCCATGAAATAATGTTCCCTTAACATAGCGAATAATGCGAAGTACTGCTACATAATGAGTGAAACGAGGAGCAGCCATAAACTGACTAACAATGTGAACTGCATATGCTATATCAGGGTGTGTCGTAGTAAGATAAACCAGACTACCAACCAATTGCCGATAGTGAGTAGGATCAGAAAGTGGAGAGCCATCCATAGGTGTAAGCTTGACATTGGGTTCAAGAGGTGTAGAAACACTTTTTCTATCATTGAGTTCAGCTTTAGAAACAAGATCGGAGGCATACTTTACTTGAGAAAGCAGGTAGCCATCATCTGAAGAGGTCACTTCAAGCCCCAAAAAATAGCTCAGAACACCAAGATCTTTCATCTCAAATTTTTGACTGAGAGATTGTTTTAACTCCTCAACACCTGCGACATCATCTCTAGTAATAATCATGTCATCAACATAAAGAAGTAAAAGAACCATACCCCGAGCAGTCTTATGAATGAACAAAGCTGTATCATGTGGACTGGAAGTAAAACCAAACTCACTCACAGTAGCACTAAACTTTGCATACCAAACTCGAGGGGATTGCTTCAACCCGTATAATGCACGGCACAATCGACATACCTTGTTTGGAAGATGGTGGAGCCCATGAGGTGGTTTCATATAAACTTCTTCTTCTAGGTCACCATTAAGAAAAGCATTTTTCACATCCATCTGAAACAATTTCCATCTCCGTATAGCAACGATAGCAAGCAAACTGTGCACAGATGTAAGACGAGCAACTAGAGCAAATGTCTCTTCATAGTTGATTCCATACTCCTGTGTAAAACCCTTGGCAACCAAGCGTGCCTTATAACGCTCCATAGAACCATCAGATCGTGTTTGGATCTTGTACACTCATTTACAGCCTATTAGAGATTTTTCAGTAGAGAGATCAACTAAATCCCATGTACGAGTGTTCTCAAGAGCTTGTAATTCATCTTGCATAGCTTGTTGCCAAAGAGGGTTAGAAGAGGCCTCTTGATAGGATTGAGGTTCATGTAACGAAGTAATAGCAGGAAAACAATGATAATCACGAAGGTAGTTTGGAGGCTTTCTTACCCGAGTAGGATGACTTGAGGATGGGACAACAAGCTCATTTGTAGATGAGGAAGTAGAAGAATGCTCAAAATTATCTAATGCATTACCAGCAGGCAGATCATCTTCTACAGAACTGGTTAGAGCATGTGGTGAGGCATTGTAGAGCTCATCAGATGTACTTGCATTAGAATCACTAGGAAATAGCTCAATAAAAGGATTAGTAAAAAATGGAGGTTGATGAGAGGATGACACTTTGAAGTTTGACAATGATGAGAACAGAGTGTGTTCTCAAAAGACAACATGACGTGAAACTCGGAGTTTTTGTGATACAGGATCCCAACAACGATATCCTTTTTGTGTAATCCCATAACCCAAAAAACAGCATAATCGAGCTCTAGGTTCTAACTTGTTATGTTCATGAGGTGGAAGAAGAACAAAACATGCACAACCAAAAACCTTAAAAAGATTATAAGCAGGAAGAATACCATGTAAACGCTCATATGGAGACTAGTTATTAAGGACTGATGATGGAATGCGATTAATAAGATAAGCAGCTGTAAGAGCAGCCTCACCCCAAAATCGCTCTGGACAAGAAGATGAAATGAGCAGAGCATGAACAGAATCAAGGATGTGTCTGTGTTTGCGTTCGGCTCGCCCATTTTGTTCAGAAGTATAAGGACAAGATTGTTGTGGCAGTGTACCCTGTTCTTTCAAAAAAGATTGAAGTTTAGTACTAAGATATTCAGTAGCATTGTCAGTTCTCAAAACTTTGATAATTTTAGAGAACTGGGTTTTGACCATGGTAGCAAAATCAATATAAATTTGTGATAATTCAGAGTGACTTTTCATAAGGTATATCTAGGTAAAACAAGTATGATCATCAATAAATAACATGAAGTACCTGGAACCCCCCATGGTGGGTGTAGGCGATGGACCCCAAACATCAGAATGCACAAGATTAAAAGGAGTAGTAGAATGAGAATGACTACTCGAAAAAGATAAAGCTGGCTACTTTGCAGATTGACATAACACACAATGCACAGATTCATTCGGAACTGATTCTAATAAACCACGAGAGATAAGTGGACGAAGTTTACCGACAAAGGTATGTCCGAGTCGTGAGTGCCACAAATGGAGAGGAGAAATGTTAGTAGCAGCACAGACTTGGAAGATTTGTTGATAAGGAATTTGCAAAGACTCTAATTCAATAGCACAAAGCAGGGTTTGGATGAATTGATCATTTGGAAATGATGGTGTATCCATTTTATTATCAGGAATATGCAGATAGTTGAGCTCAAACAAACGCCCCACCTTGCGACCAGTTCTTAGAAGTTGTCCTGTCTGTGGGTCCTGCACACGATAAACATGAGCAGAAAATGTTACTTTAAGACCAAGATCGCATAATTGATCGATAGATAGAAGATTATAACTAAGTTTTGGAACTAAAAGGGCATTTGGTAAAGTTAATGACTTTGTAGAAACATTACCAATGTGACTAACATTCATAGAGGAACCATTAGCAGGATAAATATCAGGAAAGGAATTATTAGGTGACATTGAAGAGAAATGAGCAGTAATTGAAGACATATGGTTACAACAACCAGAATCGAAATACCAAGGTTTGGTACCCGGAGCAGTAGATAGGGCAGTAGGAGCATTAAAAAGATTTAATATCACCTGTTTTAGGGATTCAAGGTTGACATTAGGTTGTTCTATCACTTCTATGGCAACCGTAGCAGTAGCAGGATGAGTTACAATCCTTTCAAAACTCGTCATAGAATCAGTAAACTTACAATACTGAAAAACTCTAAAAATATGGAGAAATAGATGCCAAGATCGAAATAACAAAGCAACAAAATACCTCAGAAAGGGTCTGAGAATTGAGGATAAACAATCCAATCTGTATGAGAAGAAATCCCAATGACAAAGTTTCAGATCTGAAATAGAATTAAAAATTCAACTCCAAAAAAAAAAACCCAACAGCGATGATAAGAGAAAAGAACCAAGAGGTTATAACTCTGATACCATGTTAGAAACTGAAAAGAAGGAGAAATATCTGAAGAAAGGTTTATTGCTTTCTTGAATTATACTGTATGTACAATGACCTATATATAGGTGTATCTGAAGAAAGGTTTATTGCTTTCTTGAATTATACTGTATGTACAATGACCTATATATAGATGTTTACAAAGAAAATATTCTAAGGTATAAAGTATAAAAAGAGAATATTCTAAAGTATAAAATATTTATAATAATTCTAAATATAATTATGTTCACATCTTAACAAAGGTTAATGGACTTCAGCCTCTGCAACATAGACGGAGATCTAGACAGCAAAGCTCCCTGCTTCTTCTTCGGAGCTAGACAGAAAAGCGAAATGGGAAACCTCATCCAGATGGGGAGATTTCTTAGAAGCAGTAATTGACTCTTGAGATCTATAATTGTAAAAATTCACAAATTTAAGCCTTTGAAGAACAGAGGGAGATCTGGTGAGACGATGCGGTGACTCTTGCTGCTTTTGCGGTTTAGTGTTGCCGGATTTGCTGGAGCCAAAGTTAGAAGTAATGAAAATGGTGCCAATCATGAGGTTGAGAAAGACGAAGAGGACGGAAGGAGTGCACCAGCTGAAGATGGAGTCCCGGATTGAGGGCACAGTTGATAGTGATTCTTCGACCATGGCTGCTTACAGGAATTGCAGGTTAGGAATGGGAGTGTGGTTCATGGGTTGGATACTTCTTTGGTTCTACATGGTGGCATGCGATAGGTCTGTGAAACGGGCAAAATAGATGAGGCTGTAGTTGCATTCCATAAAGTGGTGACATGGACCGCATTCCCGCCCACTTCTAACGGCGCCGTTTCAGATACAATTAAATATTAATTTTTTTCAATAAACACCATCATTTTCTTACTTATACGTGATATTGTGATATTATATATATTGTTGTAATATAACATAATATTGTATCTTTCAGTGTTGATGATACAAAAATAATCTTATAAATAATAATATTATAGTAATGTTATTATGTAAATTATAAGCTTATAATTATATAATATTATTAAATAAATAAATATATTTTCGAATATATTCAGATACCTAAGTAACGGTTAAACACAAATCGAATAAAAAGGCATAAACCACTCCACTTTTGGGTTAAAGCCAACTATAATCCCTCTACTTTTAATTTTCATTTATTGTTCTCTTTGTACTTAAAAATCATTCAAAGACCTCTTTCTACTATTCTAGAATGTATTATTGTCCTCCATCTACTTTGAGTTTTCATAACAATTACTTCTCTCAGCCAATACCATTACTAACTCTCATTTAATAGATACCTTTTTTATCACTAAAATCAAGCCATTCACTCTATCCCCTTTCAACTTCAAAATGATTATAAGAGTTTTTTATTTAATTATTAATGATTCAAACACAATTATTTATTATATTAAGTAGAATTATATTTTAAACACTCCTTAAAATTACGTTTTTAGAAGAATAAAATTCAACAATTATTCATTAGATTTTTTTGCTTAATCTTAGTAGTCATAAAAATAAGGATAATGTAGGGCATGTTGTTTTCCGAAAATTTTTTTTGGAGGACATATCAAAAAATCCATTTTTTAATAAATGTTTTTAAAACTGATTGTTAAATTGAAAGTTTTATTCACATAAATCATGCATATTAAATTTTATATTTATCTAACACTTATAACTCTTTGATCAAAGAGACTCTATTTATTGACATATATTTAATAATGTTAAATTTTTTATAATTAATAAAGTGATTAAGCTTACTAAAAAATTTGAAAATCAACATGTATTATCTATATGAATAAAGCTTTTAATTAATGGTTAGTTGTTGAAAACATTAATTAAAAGATAAATTTTTAGACATGTCGTTTAAAAAAAATTTTAAAAAAAAAGGACTTGCAAAACACTATTTTCTCAAAAAATATATATATGACAAAAATTCTATCACAAATAATTTTTTTGCACCATGAGAGCTTTTTTTATTATTATTATTTTGCCTTTGTGAAAGAAAACTTTGGAATTATGCAAAATCCAGAAAAAAATAAACACTGGAATTATAACCAGAACACCACTATGATAGAGCCCACATTCATGCGCACTGAGCCCTAGTCTCTCCAATATTAAATGATATTGATCCCAACCTAAAGCAACTTTCTCCTTCCCTCATACCACATTCACTCCATCACCTCCTCTCTAGCCACAAGTGACAATGGCAAGCACTACTAAACCCAATCCAAAGGAGCACAATAAAGAGGATGATTGATGAGGAGGGTGATTCAAACATTGGAATGAAGTTGACGTTCATTATTAGGGAATTTAATCGAGAACATCAAGGGGGTTCAATGAAATTTCATATGGGTTAGGGATTTAAGGGAAGAAGAAAGGAGTTTTTAGAAGATCCTTACTTTGATCGAGAACTTCAAATAATTTAGTGGACTTTCAAATGGGTTAGGGATTTAGGGATTAAAGGAAGAATAAGGAAGTTTTCAAAAGATGAATTAGGGATTTAGAGATCAAGAAAGGGATTTACGGATCAAAAAACATATATGGCCTTGTTGATATGGAAATAAGTGGGGCCCATTCAATGCAATTCAACAAAAATAATAATAAACTAATGGATGAGTTACATTTTAACAATCAAAAAGCATTTGTTACATGAGAGTTAGTAAC